ACACACACACACACACACACACACACACACACACACACACACACACAAAGACAAGCGTGCCTTCATCCAATTGACAAACAGGAGCTTTGTCGCTAAGAAAATCTGACACTCTGTTAGTGGGCTTTTCCTGCCCACAGTCCCAGTCAGTAGGTGGATTCATCCCGTCATGCTGGACATATTTGGACCCACTCTCTCCACTCAGACAGGCGTGATTTAAAGGTCAATGTATTGGCTGAATACTAAGCAGTTACAGGAAAAAAAATCTGATTTCCTAGAATAAGATAAATGATGAAGAAAACCGGGTTATCTGGGTAATCTTGTGACAGCATAAAACTTTGCAGATGAGGATTCCCACATGGAAATGTGTTATAGCAGGGATTTATCTTGGACAATCACCTTCACTTGCTGGTGAAAGTATAATATTAAAGCCATAAAAATAAACCAAAAAGAATTTCATAAGAACTTGTTCCAAGACGAAGCAACAATATCGAATTTAGCAGGGGCTGTAACATATACATACATGCACACATTAACATCATAATCCATACCTACCTCTACATATTAAACATAAATCACAGATGAAAGAACACAACATCCTAGCCCTCCTACACATCTTCAGTTTTAAGAAGGTGAAATGGTTTAAAGCAGGCAGAAAGGTTACAGCAGACGCATCTAAGGACAACTCTCTGGCATCATTTGACATGCATCTGAGATATTGTGCAACAGCGGGCCGTCCCACTGTTACTCATCCTTTTTAAAAGCTTTATGGGGTTGGAGAACATTTTGTACAGAGCAACAGTTTAATGGGACACGTTTCCCTTCAAGCTGAAGGGAAATCACTTATTGTACGTGTTCAACCCTTTGACATTTTATACCACCCTGTAAGTCCCTTTTTTCTGTTTTAACTGATTTGTCTGTCTGCATTGACTCTCTACAATAGTAACAACTCCAGTTTGTCTTTCTATCCTTGAGCATTTTGAATGGATTATTGTATGCTATTGTTGCAGCTGAATGGCCATTTTTAACTATGAAATAAAGCCGTCTATTCATGTTAAAACTAAAGACTATTTCTACAGTTTCAAACAGATTGAAATCCAAATGTATTTTCTCAAAAGCAATAGATGACGGGAAAGAGAACTTGACCCAAGCTGCAATGAAATGGATCATACAAATAGTTATCAGTTGTTATTTCCTCTACCTTAATTTGCTAATCGGTGCTTTATTTTAGAAAAGGTTTAGTAGTTATATGCCTATACTCAGTGTGCAGTGCATTAGTTACCGATTTGACACCTTACCTTAACCAAATGTATAAGAGTGGAACCACAATACTCTCCAATGGTCCGTCACAATTTGAGCTACGTCCGGTGCTAGGTTCTGCACACAACCAAACTACAGGTGTGAAAGCACCCTAAAACAGTAAATTTGTGACGTAAAACCAAAATATTGCGCTTAAACGTACTAAAATATAGAGTTGAGGGTGAATTGCAGTTCTGTGTTCGTCACTACGAGCGACACATTTCACGTTAAACGGCTTTAACAACTCCCAAAAGGTCGGTGTAGTTCTCTCAGCTGTTACAAGCTTTTTCTCACGGCCTTCCCTGTCTTTCTGTTACATTAACCCCTGTGACATGACCCCCTGCCACTGTCGGCCCATATTCATGATAAAGGATCCAACAGTGACGTGAGTAAGCGCAGATCTGCATCGTCTCGCGCAAATTGTCGAAAATCCGAAAGCGGGCGTCTTTCGTGTCTGTATTGTTGCGATATCTCGAATGATTAGGTAACCTAGCGAGGTTTGAAGGTTCCCCTTCGAGAAGGTGAAGAGGGAGAGGAAGGGAGTGGGAAGATAAGTTGCTCTTTGCGCCGTGTCTGTCGTCTTTGTCCCTCCGTCATGACCCATTTCCCAGGCTGAGAGAAGAGAGGGGGTGCAGGGAAAACAGAAGGACGATGATAGATATTTGATGAGGAGAAAACACGAGCAAGGAGACTTTAACGCCATCCATCAATGGCTTTTGTCAAGTTGGAGATAAAAAGTCACCCAGAAGTCACCGTCCTTCACGGGACTTCCTGGACAGAGCAGCAGCACACGTCCCTTCTCATGCCGGGGTGGCGTTTACTCATCGTGTTGTCAGTAGCTAAGCTGACCGAACACAGTGACTCTGTGAATCTCTGCCTCTGTGAGTAACATGCATCAAAGGTGGAGGGACACAATTTTGCCATTATCTTTGTGGCACAGAAGCCTGCTGAGCATGGTGACGGCATGCAAATGAAAGGCATTGTTATCCGGTAATTAACTTGATGTCACAGATCCCACGATATCTGACCGTCTGTGAGGGCAAACAATACGATGGTTTTGTTCTGAAAACCATGACACGCTGTCTCGTCGTGTACGCATGACCTGGCCGTGCTCATGACTCCTTTTTAATTCACGTGCCGAACACTGTCATCCTGTCTGACGCCTTTTCTCTTGAAATTCAACCCATTTACAGTTTTCTGGAGAGATGTGGAGAGAGGTGATGACACAGGGAGGGAGAGAGGGGGTACAGACAGACAGACTGGTGCTGAAGACAATGATGGGTAAAAAGGACAAAAGATGGGACACTAGAGGCAAATTCCTATACACCACACCCCAGTTTGTTGGAATGTAGGAGTATAAACATGGGGGGTTGGGGGAGACTGGCTTATGGGTGGGGGTAGGTACAACAGTGTGTGTGTTGAGGTCAGTGAGGCTAAGCATTTGAATCCCTTTAAAGTAGGTCATGTATTAAATAATAAATATTCATCCATAAATCATGACCAGACAATTCGCCAGTTTAACCTGGGGGATTCATCGGCTTTGCTCTATATAATCCCCCTGATCTCACACGCGCACACACACACACACACACACACACACACAGAGACAGGCAAAGCTAAGGAAGGCTTTGGATCTTTTCACATGAAAGCAGGTCCCATCAAAATTCAAAACCTCCCAGTAATCCCCGACTCTCACGTGTAACTGTTAAAGGCAGAGGCTACTGGCAGGTAGCTAGGACACGCACACATACGAAATCTATTTCAGTTAGAGAGCTCAGCTATGACACCAATGTCAGCCTTATGCTTCTGATGAACGACTCATAAGCTTCTTCCTCATTGGCAGAGAAGTGGGGTGGCGCCGGACTCTAAATTTCTGGTGCTGCCCAATCAGATCAAAGCCTCAACAGGGCGGAGCAATTGAACAGTGAAAGGACGTGACCCATCGGAGAGGGGACTGCACTTCAACACCTACTTTGCATCTACCTGCAGCAGCGCAGCAAAGGAGGCAACACAGATTGTGGAAAACATGGCAAGTCTAGCAGTTTCAGTGCAGCTCAACTTCTCTTCCACACACACTGGGTGTGTGTATGTGACACTAGCTTAGGACACAGAGGTGTGACTGAGTTTAAAAATAGGTATCGTGTGACTGTGCTCCCTTTAAGTAGATATGAACTGAGCTCTTTAAACTTCTCATCGGTAATCCTCAGTAAGCCTGCCCTCACACTCGCTGTCTGCTGACCTCAGTCACTCCAGCTGTGTGTGTGTGTGTGTGTGTGTGTGTGTGTGTGTGTTTGTCTACCTGTCGTGCTATTTTGCGGGCTTCCCAGTAGGGTTTGGAGTCGTCCACAGCTCGTCCGATCCTCTTCACCTGCTCGTCCAGCTTCACTGTTGCCTCAACCAGCACCGCGCGAAACCGCTGACGGCAGTCCTACACAAACGCACACACACACACACACACACACAATATATATATATATTTTTCCCATATAATTCGTTGTCTGTTGATCCACTGATTTACTGACCACTCATCCTGTGGTCAATAATAACTATAAAACTCAAAATAAAATAGCTAATTTATGTGGCTGAAATAATATTCACTGAAAGTCTGCTTAAGTGGATGGTATTTTTTTAAACATTTTCAGTTTTACAGGAAAAATAAATTTGTTCACTACATTTAAGAAGGCGGCTGTGACATTATAGAACACAAATATGAGGTAATTGTTTACAAAATTTCACCAGAAATGCAAATACTTTGTTCTTTTAAATGTCACGGTCGCACCACATGACATTTTTAAAGCCAAATTCATCTAGATGAAGAAACGCTAAAATCACTTTAAGAAATGTTATATGAATTTATCTGTGCACAACATTCATTTTTGAAGAATTGTAATAGATATTCTTAGTTTTTGGACCCAGCCAAATTTGAACGATGGAAAAAAATCTGCAAGAATATAAAATTAGGTTTCAAAATTGTGAAAGAATAAGCGGTATTCTCTGCTCTGAAACCACACTCAACCATGGGTGAGGCTTGATGTGTACAGTTACAGTGTGTAACTCCACAATTCAGCACAATAATCAGAAACTTTTCACGTTTTCAGCAATTATTTTCTGGCATGTATAATGTGTTAAGAAACAAATTCCAGATTTCACTTTACACAGACTTTAATGTTTTAAGCTTTAGCCACGGGTCGGGCTTTCCTTGCGGCGTGTGATCTCCTGCTGGCCGTCATCAATTTGGCCTGGCGCCTCCCAACTCTTCTAATTCAAGTCATCACTAAACCATAAGCCAAGCACATGCATTGAGACGCAGCTGTGTGTCACTTTTGGTTGTTGAGCGTACATTCTTTGGTGAACTCATGTTGTGAGAACTGTTATTGCGAAATTGGCAACATCTGTCTGTGTGTGCACATTTCTTTAGCGTAAAGCCCAAGGTGGCACAGCGACGGTAGACCTGTTATTCATGGCCGGCGCCTGTCATCTCCTATATGGCAGGGTTACCGACTGTGCGTCTACATGTGTTGCAATTCACAGAGAGGGTAGTTTGAAACCTGCATCCTGTTGGATAAACGGACGGAAGAATACAAGAGAGGGCAAAAGAGGGAGAAGGAAGAGGGCGCTACAGGAAGCACACTTCCTGTGACATCGTTACGTTTCCTGACTTCCTGTTTCTGCAATGAGATGGTGACGCTGCGTGCAGGCTTTATTCTGTACGCTATTGGTCATATGTATATATATTAGGGGATGTCACTCACTCGTCATCTCTAACACAATCTTGCATCTCTGCCACGAGAGCTTTTACCTTTTATGCTGGCAGAGTATAGAGAGCCTCAAATATGAGCATGGATTTAACCTCATTGCCTCGGCTTTTCCTGAATCCTCTGAATCTACTGTACACACTCCTTAATCAACTCCAGACTCAGCAGGGAAACAGCCTGCAGCTGCACTTTTCACATTCTTCAGCTCTGCAACTTTCATTCTGCCTCACGATGAATCACCTTCTTTCTTTTTATGTTTGCTTGTGTCTGTTTTGTTTTTTTTATCAGTGACACAACTGTTGCTTCAAAACATTGCCAGTTTCATTCCCTCCCTCCCCCATCAGTAAAGATGCACTGGATCTATAAGAATGATCCATAATTTAGCTGGAAAACATGAATAAAGCAATATATAACAACGGTACCAACATTGAATAAGTGTACAAATCCTGTCCTATCTTTGTCTGTTACATTTATTTGTGCAACTTGCTTGTGGCGTTCGGACGTGAGTGAAGGTTTAATGAGAAACAGAAGAGGCCTACTTTGAGGAAAAGAAAAACATGGCCTGCCTCTGGAATGTTTTGACTTTTGCTGAACAGTAACCTGTCTAGTAAGCGTTTAAATCCAAGCGAGCGCTGTAAAAAAAATAAAAACTACTACCATCCATCTTTCTGCTGTTCCTCGCTGCATTTTGTAGCTTTAAAAATGTTGTGTTTTTAAAGAAAACGAGAGCACCTGGTATTTAGATTGCTCCAAACGTGCCATTTAAATATTATATTTAACATTCAGATCACAGTTAGGCCTAAGAGTTCATACGCTGCAGTGTTATTAAGGAGGAGTGACGGCTGCTGCTTCAGTTTTTCCACATTTTCCCTCAGAAGCAGCTCCCACATTTAGAAAATGTCCATCTCTGCGAGACTTTCCGTGTAAACCGTTTTCTATGCAATGACTTCACTGCCAGGAAAAGTCCTTAAAACCGAACTGGAAACGATATGAATAATCTCACAGCTCTAACAGGATTCCTCTCTTGTTTAGACTGAGATTCTGAAAGTGAGACTCGATGGCTTCTCGAGGCGGGTGTTGGAGCTCAGCCATGACTGGGAGTGTTTACCCCAGTGGGGAGGGAGGCACTGATGATAATGACAGTCGTGCTGGTGGTTGGTGCTTCGTCTTACCTCCAGCTCGCTCTCCCAGCGGTTAATGTCGTCTGTGGACTGGTTCAACTTCTCCAGCTCTCCCTGTTTACAGGAAACATGGCATTCATGGAGAGACACGGAGGGAAAGAACAGATTGTGAGTCTAGAGGCCCAACTGTGTGACTTCAGGTTACCAGATTGCTGAGTGTGCAGCCGTGTGTGTGTGTGTGTGTGTGTGTTTGTGTGTGTTGAGAAAGCGTTAAAGGAACAAATACTCTTCGTTCTATTTATCTAAGATTCTATTAAATCATGCACAGTTGACACATTCACGAAAATACCTTGTGTTGAGTGGAACAGTAGTTGTTGCATTAATATAATAAAGTGGTAATATTTCACATTTCCCTGGTTTTTACTGTATATTTATGTGTGTGTGTATGTGTGTATAGTCTACTGAATGTAAGGTTAACACATTTTAAGACAATATTCCACACAACCTGACTTTCACTGGGCTTCTTAATTCGGTCTCAATGTCACTTTAACTGGTGGCCACATCTGGATTACATTTTTAAAAATCCCACCTGGATTCTTGGATCCACTTCTTCCGTTTCTTCTTCCTCCTCATTGGCACACTGCGAGTCCTCCTCACAATTATTTCCATTTTGTAAAGGATCCATTTTCAGGATATCTGGAGATTCTTTTTTGGGGAAAGAAAATGTGGGTCTTCACTGCAAACAAAAGCGCGACTCCGGGGTGCCGGACAGCAGGGACGTCCGTCCTCACTAACCTTTGCACAGAGTCTGTTGCATGCTTCAGGCGGTTCTTTTAAGGTGTCGGTGCTTTTAGAGGAGCAGAGGAGTCCGCTGTCTGCAGACCGAGCAGCGCGTCTGACCGCTGGGAGATCCGACACACGCACTGTGGGGGAGAGCACAACCTCGGGGATAGGCAGCAGCACAACTGTGAAAAAGAAAGTTATAAAGTCGCTATATGACTACTTCTGGTTTCGACTTTCAAAATAAAAGCCATTAAGCGTAGCAGCACTTTTCGACTATGATAGTCATCAATATGTTGATTCTATGTCAAACAACCCTTATCATACAAGAAATAATTATCTTTAATATATTAAAGAATCGTGTTTCTGTTTGTATGTAATGAAAAAGTTCATTTACAACTTAAATTACGATACATAAACTAATATGATACTTTCTCATTTAATCATAATTTTAAAAAAACTATTAACAACTTGTGACTGGTTGTTGTTGTGTACTAGTATTAAAAATTCGTATTATTTACATAATGATCTGTACCTTTTTTGTACTTAATTGAACTTATATGACATGTTTTTTCCACGAATCCATCTACTGTCCCCCAAACTATACCCTTTTATTTTGGCAGGACAGAGGCTCAGAGGTTCTGGTCTTATTGAGCCTCCTTAATGCGAGCTTGATTCAGCTCCAGTGTGGGCTGGTGAGCTGGTTTCACTCGCCCTCTGGTGGTGAGGACTCCTGGGAGCAGGGAGGGTCAGACTGGAGGCATTCCTGTGAACACGGTGGTGTTTAGTTGAACCAGTGGTTTCCAGTATGGCAACGGTGGGAAGTCATTAAAGTATATATATTTTTTCAGAGTTTAGGTGAAGTGGTAGTTCTATAAATATTTCAGAATTAAAGTTAATGTATTTGGAAAAGGACTATATTAAAGCTGAATCTCGTGGTTTAATTTGTCATTTATTGCTGTTAATTAAGTGAAGAAACATAAGAAGGTTTTTGGTCAAAATATAACAGCAGTATTATTTTTATTGATGTTGTATTTATATATATTTGTTTACTATCTAAGCTGGAGAGTTAAATGCTGACCATGAAAATAGTAGTTTGACCAAACAAAAACAATTCTTAGCAGGAGGACGAAGGTCATCCACTTGGTAGACATTTACCAGAGCCTTCAGCCACATCCGGGTCTTGATCAGTAGAGAGTTGGCTCAGGTCTTTACAGTTAGTTTTGTTTTTTTTGTAAGAAAAATATAAACATTACCAACCAACTGGAGTTTGAAGTTTAGGTCTATACTCATCCTTGGCAAGTAAAACCAAGCTCTACTTTATGAAGATATGGTTATGTAGGCTATAACGTAAAATATATTGTTATAATTGGGATTTTGGGGAACTGGTCTTTTAGTGAGTTCCAGTCTAACATTATATAAATATTTTTTAAACGTATATTATGGTAGTATCGGTATTTAGACCTCATTTATTAGTTAATGATGATGCTGGTGTTCTCCATACACACAGTATATAGTGCATATATTTCTGTATAATATTCCTATGCTTCTCCTTGGGCAGCTTCTACAGCACTAATGCATAATGTAAAGTTCCCCGGATAAAAGGTTGCAGGTTTAAAAACAACGACACAGTAAGTCTGCCTGCACTGTGAGTCAGTTGGGAGCGGGCCTATGGGCTACAGCGCCTCAGACATGGACGGCTGCCCGGCTTCACTGTTCGTCATCGCGTTTTTCCGCTGCGTCCTCCTGCGTATGCATGTATGCGACCGACGGGCTGATTTCATAACGTGGGGAGGAAGAGAGGAATGGGGCTTTGAGAGCGGATGAGCACCAGACCCGGTCGGTTCTGTGCACCCAACGGTGTTATCGCTATTCCCGGGCCGTGCAGACGGTGCACTAGAGGAGATGCGGTAGTGGAGGCTGCTGATGCTGCTGTCCGATCAGCTGTTTTTTTTGTCTTGAGCATCATCGCCGCGACGGCCAGAGAGACCCGAGATCAAGCTCCGGAGCCAGGGGACACCGCAGACCGGATAACGGAGGATGGAGTTCAAGCATCTGGTGGAGGCGGCGGAGAAGTGGTGCTCCGGGAACCCGTTCGACCTCATATTCGCCGAGGAGGACGACGAGAGGCGGCTTGACTTTTACGCAGAGCCCGGCGTCTCATTCTACGTGCTGTGTCCCAGCGGCACCGACAGTTTCGTAAGTGAGCTTCTGCAGGGCCTTTAGCTCTCTCGCACTCGGTGTGCGCGTGTGTGTGTGTGTGTGTGTGTGTTCATATACGTGTGTCGAGGTGGGGTTGTCCTTCTTGGTCCCGGCTGATAGACACGGGGGAGGAGAGGAGGGGAGGTGGGCCTTTGGGCGAAGAGTGGAGGGATGATGTCATTTAACTTTGGGTGCACCCCCACCCCCCCCACCCTATGTCGATGTTGTTTTTTCCCTTCATCATAATCAACTGCGATAACCCTCTGAACCACATCACCAACAAATTGTCCAGGTTATAAAAACACGAGGCCTGTGAATTTCAAAATAAAAGCTCTGCACAACATCATGTTGCATTAGGAACACAAAGAAGGCCTCTTATATTCATGTATTCGTTGGGACATAGAAGTAGTTTACTTTTCTCTTAAAATGTAATTTTCTTTATATTTTTCTTTATAGCAATGAAGGCATCATTCTGTCAAAAAGCTCAAACTTTGTTTTTTACACCAAACTAGTGAGTGGATAATTACCTCGTTAATTCACTGACTGACTTATTTGTTTAGAGAGGTTCCTGTTCTGCAGACATATAGTAACTAATTAACAAGGGACACATTTCCATATCTTTATTTTGAAGGAATTATTGACAGTTCTCTGCTGAGATGCATAATCTAAATAATCCCAGTGAAACTTTATAAAAAATGTTTGCCTGGACACAAATAGAGTAAACAAATTTAAATATTTGATGCTGTTGTTTAAATATGTTATCCATGGTCTAAAGTATGTTTCTAAGAGCCTAAGCGATAACGGAGTCAGCCTTAAAGAAACACCATGTGAATCTTTTCTGTACATTAATTATTGAACATGAACCTCTTAAATAGTTAAAATAGTCTAAACACCCAAAATCAATATGGAGGATATGAGCTCAGTGAAGGGCTGAGCAATGTGTGGAAAATCAAATATTACAATATTATTATCAAATACCTTGATATTGATAATGTGACGATATAGGGCTGACCAGTGGTGCTTTCAAAAAATATCTACACAATGAAACTTTTGATAAATCATTTTTAATAATGTGGTTATAATGATTAAGTGGGTAAAGGCAGATGACATAACTTTTTACTGAATCCTTAGAACCATGGAAAGACTCGACGTATGCCATATAACCGTATACAAAATTTAACATATCTAATCTGATATTACAATACCGATGGAATATTAATATATTGCCCAGAGCTCAGTGTCTTCGCTTGCAGCTACAGCCCCACAGGCCGTCTTGACACTGGCTACATCCTGGTCCAGTGTGGTCCAGTGTGGTGCAGTGGTGGCGTTGTGAGCCATAAAGCTGCCGAGGCCAGACCCGCCCTGCTCCCTCCTCCTGCTCAGTGACGGGGGCTCACAGGGCGGGGAGCAGATGGAGATGAATGACATAATGACCTAGGAGCCTCGGCTCCTGGGTCATTATGTCACACCGACCGTGCCCCGGTCTCTCCCACTGACTGCAGAGCAGGGCTGCTTAAACATGGGGGCTCTCCATGGCTGGTGGTGGAAAATATACGACTGCTGCATCATCGAACCATGTTATTCAGAATATCATTACAGAGGAAAAAACACACACACAGCAGAGGGTTAGATAAGTATATACAGTATATGCACCTATGTGGTTAGTTCTCTCACCACCAACTTCATTTTCCACCTCCCTTCCTTTTTGTCTCACTTTATCTCCCTCACAACAATCAGTTTGTCTCCAGCTTTTCTATCCATCTATCTAATGCATGTTAACTGCTGCAGCACTGACACTCGTGGACACACACACACACACACACACACCTTCACAGTTCTCTGTCCAGAATAACTATCTTGTCTCTCGCTCGATCAATACTTCTACAGCAGGGCGTCTCACGTGCTCTCTCTCTCTCTCTCTCTCTC